AATTATTTTTCTGGATCTCAACTGCTAATTGAATCTAGCAGCCACAAAGAGATCATCTGATTTTGGCAAATAAATGTGCCATTAAATGTGTATTTTTAATACTCCCTATGTATCCTTTATTATCTGCTACAAATTTTTTGTTTTTTAAGTGGCATTTCAATTTGTGGGATATTACAAATTGAAGTCTGAGACAACATGATGGCTTCAATCAAGCTGATTGCAACAGAAATGCATAGAATTGGTTAGTAAGGAATATGTTTTAGTGTTACGGTTTAGACTTAAAATATTCTCCCCAAAGTCACATGTATTCAGTTATGTGGTTTTGGTGTATTCAGATATGTGGTGACTGGATCAAGGAGGTGCTTCACTCATCAGTGTATTAGTCCATTGACAAGTTCTTGGTTAACTGTGCTATTTGGAGGTGGCGTCTGTTTGGAGGTAGATCACTGTGTTTGTGACCTAGAAGGGTATATCAGCTTCCGTGGTTCCCTTCTTCTCAATCTGTTTCCTAATCACCATAATCTAAGCAAGTTTCCTCTACCTGGCCCCCCCAGTGTGCCACTTCGGTCTTCGAGTTGTCTGCCCTATAAGGAACCCACTAAAAAACAGCGAGCCAATTATATTTTTCCTCCTTTAAATTGTGTGTTATAGAGTATTTTATCCCAGCTATGAAAAAGTGAGTAATACATTTAAAACTGGAATTGGGAGAATTTGTTGCAGAATTAGATGATTTCTTATTTGTGTAAGTGGCCATTTTTTGGATGGCATTTCTTGAAATGGAAAAGAGAGTGAGAAGGAAATATATAAACAATTTGATATGGTTTGTGTTGTTTGAAATATTTGTTAAATAGTTTAAAGCTGAAAAGAAAAGGCAAGGCTGCATTGTAACTTGGGAATTATGTATGTAGAGGTTTATAAAGCAATTTGAGAGAGAAAATAGGAAGGACAGAGGGAGAGTAACACAGAGAAGAGAAAAGGAATTGAAAGAAGGAAAGTATAGGTAGAACATGATACTTTTTAAAATAAATATTTGACCACTGACAATGAACATGTATTTAAATAGGCAAACATAAAATAAGCTGTTGATACTTACTAAATATTATATTGATTTAAACTTTATCCTTCAACATGCGGTATAAAATTTAGATGATCTGTTAATGGAAAAAAAATGACAGTTTTCTACATATACAGTGTTAAATTATAAGAGTAGTTTTAAAGCATTCTGGCATGTGTGTTAATGATCCATTATTGCACTTCTCAGGAAATTGAAGTCATTTGGTCTTCAGTGTTTCATGACTTATAGTTCACTTGGGGTTTAGATTAATTTCATTTTTATATCCTATTTTTGGTTTATGTATTTCTGCAACTCATTTAATCAAGGCAATTTTTCATGAAGGAAACTATATTGAAAATTCACACTCACAAAAAGTTTAAAATTTATGTAGATAAATAAGATTAATAATATTATATTTGATAAACTTTTCCGTGACTTTGTATATTATAATTTATATATTGGGGAAAAAGTGAGTCCTGAGTACCTGCAATAACTTTGATGCTGTTATGGTTTGTGTCACCCAAAGCCTCGTGCAATCATGGGGGCAGGCCTCTAGAATTTGTCATTGTTTCATTGTTCAATGCTGGGATTACGGATGTGAGCCTCCACCTCAAAATGGGTGGCCTACATACACTACAAAGGACCAAAAGAGTCTTTTTCCATGATTCTCCTTTTTTTGCTCTTGTTGCCTTGCTGTTTTTTACTGCTATGAATGGTTGCCCCTGTGCCATGCCACCTGCCTGGAGTCAGCTGATTACAAACTGAAACTTCAACAAACTATGAGCTAAATAAACCTTTCCTTCCTTAATTTTGGGCATCAGGTATTTTGTCTCAGAAATGAAAGAAAAGTAATCAATACAGATATTAATTATACTGATTTGACTAGTACATACTGCCTGCATCTGTCAAAATATCACTCCTTTAATATGTAAAGTTGATACATAGTAAGAATAAAACTAAGAAAGACTATTAGAAGAAATAAAAGGATGATCAAAATTTGGCTACTTTACATCAATTTGGCCATTTCTTATAATATTCTACACTAAAAAGAAATATTGGCCAAAATTCTAGAGATCATCCTCCAAGAATGCTCTTCTCACTCCTGTTTCACAAATCAGTCAGATTTGCATGCGTGAACATCATCATGTCTCCCTAGTGTAAGAAACTGGAAGAGTAAATAAGATCCAAAGGTATAATACATATTGTGAAAGGGAAACGGCTCAAAAGGAAAAAACAACTGGGATGAGGGAAAGGAGAAGAGAAGGGAGGGAGATATATAGATATAGACATAGATATAGACATAGATATAGATATATGTTATATATATGATAATTAAGATAATTGTACTACTCATTCTATTAGTTCATTGAAAGGAGCAGTGCTTTTATTGTTTGATTAATTTTGCATGCCTAGATCTGTTAATTTGAGCAACTACGTTGAAGACAACAATATGCAATATAATAACCATTGTTAATTTTCTGTAATTTTGGTTTGAAACTGTATAATTTTTACTGTTTTTTTAAATTATTTTCTTTAAAATAAAAAATTTATGCTATAATGTCTTCTTTCCACATGTTTTATGCATTTGTTTAGTTTCTTCTGTTTCTACAGACCCTTCCTCGGTTCATGTAACTTATTTTCATTATCCTGATCTGAATCCTCCTTTTACTGGCAACCTGATATAATCTTGAACTCTTCAGCTTGTCCTTTGTTTACCTCCCATGGCTTATATACCAGCTCTTCTGTTTTTGTTACTATGCTAGTTCAACCCACCTGCTTAACATTCCTGCATAAAATTGATGCCTATCATGTTATCCCTTAAAATGCTAAAATATCTAATTTCAATTATAATAATACATAGATTCCATACCAAGACCAGCAATGTCCTTTGTTATCATGTCTCTGCTTACTACTCTGACTTAACTTCAGTTTTCCATGGTGAAAAACCACTACTCACGTCGACTTTCTGTTTGAATCTCAAACACCAAACGAAAGCCTTCACTTAAAATGTTCTTCACGTAGTCTTTCAAGTGACAGCTAGCTCATCAACCAATTCTCTATGCAACGAGCCTCTCTGACTACTTAAATGTTACTCCTTTCTCACTCTCCTTTGTGTGAGAGACTGTGTGTATATGATATTCGGGTTTGAACCTAGGGTGCTTGTGCTGAGCTACACCATTAGCCCTTTTTAAATTTTGAGACATCATGTCACTGAATCACTAAATTGCTGAAGCTGGTCTCGAATGTACAGTCCTCCTGCTTTAGCCCTCCAGGGTGCTGAGGTTACAAGAATGCACTGCTATGCTATGCTCTCACTTTCCATCTTAATACTGCATTTTATTTGGATAATTCTTAAATCACCTAAGATAATAATGTGAGATTTGGACTCAATTTTCTAGGCTTCAAATATCAATTTTACCTGCTAGCTGATGACTTTTGGCAATTTACTTGATCTCTGTTTTTCTGTGCAACAGTATAATAAGACCTAATAAGAGTTTAATAAAGTTGAAATGTCTCAAATCTGAGGTTTGTAGAACAATGCTTAGCTAGTTATTGTTTTTAGTTATAGATGTAATTTAATCAACATTAAAATTTGTCTCCAAATGTAGGCCTATTTGATTCATCCATTTTTGGAAGCAAGCATCAAGAACATTGTTTTATATTCATTAGCAGATCTTCAGTAAATATGTGACCCACAATTACTTGCGTAGTGACCTAGAAAGGACAACTCTAAATAAAAATTCAGATTTTAAATATTTTAAGTAATGTGGGAAAAAGTGCTTTGACTATAGCCTTCGACTTTTGTTGACAATTTTCAAATGCCAAATAGTGTCTTTGAATAGGAACCTCTAGCTACTGGGTATTTGGATATGTAGAAATTTTCAAGTATCTAAAAAGGTACTTGAATAAGTATTAAGTATGAGTGCTAAACATATAGTTGTAAGTTTGATATTAGGTACAGATACACTAGACCCTGCAAAAATTCAGAATAATAGTCAAGATACTTAGAACCAGAGAGGGAATGTTCCTGGCAGTGACAATGAGGCAAAGAGAGGCAATTTAATCAGTTCTTGGTTTGGGGGTGAATTAAAAAGCTTACAATAGTTACCTTAAAAGTAGGGTTGGACTGAAAATGAGACAGAACTTACTTTGCATGCCTATCTGTCTTGACCTCAGGTGAAGTTATAACAAACAGGAAAAAAGTCAGAGGCAAATGATAAGTAATCTTCCTAAAGATTGTTCATATAAATTAAATGTTTAAGATTTGATAAAATCAGTAGTGCCTGATGTGACCATTAAATTGGATTGTCAACTTGATTGGCTCAAGACTTGCCTAATGGGTTAGTGAAGCTCACTGCTGAGTGTGTGTGGATGGGCCACAGAACTGGGATCTTGACTAACAATATATGTGCCCCCTGGCTTCTTCCTCTCTGGTCTGTTCTGCTTCCCAGCTGCCAGGAACTGAGCAGCTTCGCTCCACCGTGCCTTTCTGCCATGATGTTTCTGCTTTGAGCCAGCTGACTGGACTGAAATCTCTGAAACCATGAATGAAATTGCACCTTTAATTCTTTAAATTGTGGGAATCAAGGTATTTTGTATTAGCATTGAGAATGCTGACCAACACCCCATTTTCATTTTGGTGCAAAGATCTTCATATTAAGATCATGTACCTTATATTGTTTTACTGCATATTATTACAGAAGTGAAAAGAACATTAAGCCTCTTAAACTTTCTACTGCTTGCCTCAAATAAATATGTTAAAATTTAATCAACATACACATTAGGAAACTTAAACTGAATCTTTTTTTTACATCAAATTTATGTGTGTACACTGGTCACTGTGTTTGTAAAGTATAAAAAGTGTTGTAAGATACTTTATTTGGCCTTCAATAGGCTTTTATTTTGGTTGTAGCATCTGTTCAGATGTCAGTGTACAAATTTAGAAAACTATAAATATAACCATCTCGTCATCTTTTCACCAACTGATTTGGTTTAATTTCCAAAGTGAAGCTATACCAGTTGGAGGATCTTTCCATTTGAAATATATAGCGGTATGTATCAAATTCATCTGATTTTTCTGAAAGATCTGACATTTAAATAAAATATGAAGCTAGGTTATATAATACCATTATTCATATTACATAAAGCTGTGTTATGAAAACTTAGTGTACTCTCCAGTGAAATTATTTGCTATGTTTTATAATAACATTTTTATGGACTGAGAAGTTATGCCATTAAATTTTAAGTTCTCTAAATTAAAAGGTGTTAAAAGATTTATTACTCAGTTTTGATTTTAGTTTAAATAATTCATAGCTACTTTCATACACATTGCTAATGAAAATTCTTGATTTATTAAATCAGATATATGAATTGCTGGAACTAATTTTAGAAAAGCTTTCCATATTTTTACTGAACTGAACAAATTTGATATATTTAACAATTGTTCCTTGAACATTTCTGTTTAATGAGGCTCTCGGAGTGGAGGGTGCTTATGTAATTTCATTTGGAGTTCATTATAGGTAGTACTGTGTAGATGAACAAAATTGTATGGATTGCTCCTGGGTCCTTCTAAGTCTAATTTTTTTTAAATAATAAAAGAAGGATACTTTGTTTTTCTGTCTCAGCCAGGAGTCCAGAGGCAGCATGCTAGGAAAATCAGAAAAAAATATTTTAAATGCTTATTAGATATTTCTAAACAGAACTAGGAAATAGGTTTCTGTGCTTTGTTCATTTGTGCAGCAGAAAGGTTGTTAGCAAACTTTAAATTTATAGGTAAATAAAACTAACAGAATTATTAGTATAACCAGCTGTTCAAGGGAAAACTTCATATATTTGTACCAATTTTTTAAGGTTTTCTTTTGAATTATAAAGCAATAGTAATATTTTAGAATGTGAGTTCTTTCAGATTAAAGTTGATTTAGTTAAAGTCACCATCTGAAGATGTGAAAATTTCAGAAAAAGTAGTTGAAGATAACACATTTTTAGTGACTTTCTAACATGCATTTCCATATCCTTTTCACAATACTGATATTTTAAAGACCTTGATAGGTTCTCTGATAGGATTAGAGTCATGAGCACAGTATCAGTTAATCTTAGTGACTGTCTCAAAAATATATTAACTTGTGAACTTACGAAAAAATATTTTTCCCCCCTCAGGATGTCAAATCTGGGGCAAATTGACACTGACTTTTACCAGTCTAATTATACTATTGATGACCAGGAGCAAAGCTGTAATGATGCCAATATGTATGGAAATCTTTATGGATCTGGAGAGTAAGTATTTTATACTGAGCATGTATACTCCCATTTGCAGAGGATTAGTATTATCCTAAGGGATTCTAGGTGGAGAAGTTTCCTTGGGAGAAGGCAAAGTTCTGCATAGCATGTTACTGAATCATAATTCAGAAAATTTTAGCAAAGTCCCCAAAAAAATTATCAGAAAGGAAAGAGAAATTAATCCAGCTCTAGGTAAGCATTCTTTATAACTTGAGGACCACTATCAGGTTAATGTCTTATCTACTCTTCAAAATAACTCTTGACAGGGATCCCAAATATAAGTGTGAGGCAAATGGAAAACATTTTCTTTCTAAGTTTTTTTCAGAATTTTGCTTGAGAGCCAGATTTCATCACATGTAGTACACATTTACTGAGTGTCTATTTTGTGTCATAAATTATGGACAGTTCAAACCCAAAGCTAAGGATGAAATCCACAGTTTTCTAATCACAAAATTTAAGATTTTTATTTTGTGGTTTAAAAATTAAATATGCATTTATAGTATACATGTAATATGAAAAATGTTACACTAGAATCAACATATTTTAAAACATTAGCTTTTTTCAGTGAAAATTCAACTTGAATATAAAAAAAATAAAGAATATTGTGCATGTCTACTTAGTATTTGGTAGCAAAATAATGTATTTAAGGTAAGGAGACTAGTTAAAATTCCTAATTTTGTATTGGTTGTCTTTATGACATTGGGAAGACAAATTCTCTGTCTTTATCTGAAACATAATTATACTAAGAATACAGAGTTATGTAATTATCATAAAGATTGTGATAATGTGTAGGAAAGTGTGTTATAAATAAATCCATGATTTAAATGTGATTTAAATATGGCTTACAAAAGCAATTGACACTTTATTGTCTGAAGTCACTTACTTTACTTTGTTATACAAGTCGCTTTTTTGCCTTTTCTTTTGTGGGTCTAGATTAGCTGATTGGGAGAAGAATCAGAACAACTCCGACACTAAGTAATACTTACTGATCTTGTTACATGTTAGAAATGAACTAACTCACTGGATCCTCAATCTTACGACATAAATCCTGCTATTATTTTTATTTTGCATCTGAAAACCAGTCACAGAGACTTAAGAAACTTTCTAAGATCTATAAAAAAGAAGTGACGTTAAGCTTCTAGTCCAAGATTGCTTGATTAGGCCCTTAGTGAGCATGCAATTTATTGTAACATAAAGACATTTTAGTTTAAAATATATGTTATTGACAGTAATGTTGGGGTAGTAAGATTATTTTGGACCATCTTAGACAAATTAAGAGGTCTAATTTCCGTACCATTCTAACAAGTCTAGGTCAAATGAACTTATCACAAATATTTCAAACAGTAATTCTTGAATGTTATTGTTAAACATAGAAAAATTATCTTTAGAGTTCCAGTTGCAAAGATCAATAAATGCCAGGTTCAGTGGGAGAGGGGATCATACTTCTACTCTGTCCAGGTATTAGTGTATAGTCTTGGTACAAATGGTAAGGTTAAATATCTAGATTTTTAACTCACTCCCATCTTTACTGTGTCCCTGCTATATCAAATCCTATCAATGAAGTTGCCTTTTATGACTTACACTTTGGAAGGTAAAGGAATAATGGAAATATGCTGGAAGTGAAGAGAATAGCATGAGCATCAATTTTTTCAGGATGGGCAATCTGAGTGTATAATCTACAATCGGAAGGGCTTTTTCCAGGGTGTTCTCTTGTTTTATAGGAAAGAACTAGTTGCCTTGAAAGAGCTATTTATTTTATTCATTCTCTTTTCCAGGTGGGATAAGTACTTCGGTACTATCTACAGTTTCAGACTAAAATAAACAAACAAAAAAATCCAATAAGAACAAGACAAAGCTTTTTTTCTTAAGCAAGCTCTAGGAATGAAAGCTTTCTTTTCACATTCCACCCAACCTAATTTCTTTTCTTTCTTTTTTTGTTTAAACTATTCATAGCAATGTTTCATCAACATCAAGATAACAAAATATAGAAATTAAGAAAATCAAATAAAGTAAGCTCATGATTGCACTGATTCAGGACAATAGCCTAGCCTGTTTTAGTTGCTTATAATTCATGATGCAAGCCTTGATTTGAATTTAGTAACAAATTCCAACTGATACTACAAGTCTCCAAAAGTAGCAAAGCGTATTAGCTGTGATAGCTTTGTAAGGTCAGTAATTTACTTGTGTATATCAAAGGAACTCCAAATATCTAGTCTCTTATCCATATTGTGAATAGTTCAATTAAAATACACCCCACATCAAAATAATATGCCAATCATTTAGGCAAAATCATTAGGAATCCAGAGGACACTTATACTGGGAAATAAAATAGGAATGTGGAAATCATGAGGGTATTTATAACTAAGCAGTTTCCGATTCTCCCTCCTTGCCCTCCTCCTCATACTCCTCTTCCTCCTTCCTCTTCTGTCCTCCTCCTCCTCTTATTTCTCCTTTTCTAAAGTGAAGGATACTACTCTGAGAGAGATTAGTCATGAGTGTTTTTACTGTAACAAAATACACTACAGTGAATGCACTGTAGTTTTAGATCAGCCCTTACATTAAGAACTCATTGGCACTGCCATTCTAGCAATTATAAAAGGATAATACCAGAAGATGTGGGACCAGGTATAGAAAGGTGCTTAAAGCTATGGTTGTTCATAACAGTTTCAGAGGAAAGATCTAATACAGAGTTAGATGATAAGTATTTAGAGAGTTCTCTGGGTGGGACTATAGACTATTAATGAAATCATTTTGGTACTTCTTGGATGTTGTTCATTCAAATGTAATGCTGAATATTATAGTCAGCACAAAGTTGAAGCTGCTAGAGATAGAATTTTAATGTAAATGGTCATGAAAGTCAAGGATAATAAATCTTATAAATAAAAAATTTTGAGGTTTTCTTTGTAGGGAGAGCTTAAAAATTTGCCTTCTTAAGTGGTGGGAAAATGTATAATTATGTCCTAATAAGACAATAGAAGCTAGACTTTTGTTGGAGAAGTTTTACATAATGAAGAAACGAGAAATGGAGGAAAAAATAGGTGACAGTATTTGGTTGGTGATGGGCATATATATATATTTTTAATGCTTTTTCCTTGGGCTGTGAGACTAGCACAGAGTGCCCATGCAAAGTCTTCTAATTTACAGAGATTGCACTGCAGGCAATAATTGTGACAGTTATACTTCTTAATACCTGGTTAACTGTACCTATGTAAGATTTGTGATGATACCAGGCAAATATGTCAATGAAAGTCTCATTAAGACTCTGGTTAATTGAGTCATATTTATTTACCTCTTATTTTTCTTGAAAGACATATGTTTAAAAATACCTATCAGGAGAATTTTCTCAACAAGAAGGCATTTAGATTCGTTCTTATAATGTTTCTGCTGTTATTTTTGATATTGTGTCTACTTTGCTGTAAAAAATAAGGTTAGGAGTATGCTGTGTGGCTAAATGAACAACTGCAATAATCAGGATATGTTCTGGGGGGTTCAAGAAGCACCTTTGGTCGCAACCCTTAAGGAGCTATGGTTCAGTTAGTGAAGGATTATGTGCATATCCACCTATTGCAGTTGATTATTTGCCAAAATAAATTATTTTCTTGGAAAGTTTACCAACATACATATGGTTAAATATGTTATTCTTAGACTTTGTACTATGATTAGTGTTAAAAGGAAATCATTAAAAACCTTTTAAAAATATATCAGCATAAGGGGTCACATGATTATGTTCAGAATGCTGGCTGGACTGTATATTTAGGATAAAGGCCATTGGTAGGAAAAAAAAACTTAAACCAATTAAAGGGCTATTTTTTGTTTCTTCTCTCTTCAGGTGAAAGTATATATATTGGCAAATAATCTCACACACTCTCTTTTTTTTCTCTTTCTTTCTTTCTCTACCTCTAGCAAGATGTAATTTACAAATATCAATGCTTTTCCAACCTTCCCACACAAATGGCGAAACCAAGAACAAAAACACAGTCAAGGAGATATTGAGATATTATGCTTTAGTCAAACTAAGTTGGAAGCTAGCAATATAATACATTTAACTAAATATTCAAGGATAACTTTCCTGTACTGACAGGCAATGGCCAAAACTGGAGAGTGAATTTCTTTGTAGACAGTATTAAATCTATACACTTCTTTTTTCTTTTGAATTGACTGTACAGGTAAAATTATGTTTAGCTGGTGTTTCTGCAGAGTTACAGGGAGGACGCAGCTGCTGCTATAATGTACAGGGAGTGGTGTGCTGCTCAGAAAGCCTCAGTCCAGATCTTACACTTGTAATGTTACGGCGAGATGCTGACCCAGTTGTTTAGTGTCCATGAGTCTCTGTTTCTTTTCTGGTGGAGTGAGATTGAAAACACAACTTTAACCTTATAGAATTTCAATTGGAAAATATGAGGGACAATTCCCAGTATATTGTACAAGTTTAACATATATATGTTGGAATACAACAGTCTTCTGGAAGCCTTTTTCATGACCAGTTATTTTATATTTTTGTATTAAAACTAACTTTTAAGTAGACTGTTTTTTTGCTTGGATAAATATACCTAAAAACCAAGTAAAATCTTATAATAAGGAAAATTCAGTTTCCTCTCTCAATTTGTCAGGGTATCCTTTTATTCAGTATGTAAATATCACCATTTTTCTTTTTCTAGACAAGCTGGTGGGCAATTTCAGCCCACCTCTCTTGTTCCTCCGGAGATGCTCACATCAAGTCACCCAGGACAAGTTTTTCAGCCAGCAGCCAACTCGGATTATTATTCACAATCACCTTACATTGACAGTTTTGATGAAGAGCCTCCTTTGCTAGAAGATAAGTTAAGGAAGTGTTATTAGTGTGTATGTAGCTGAAAAAATAATAACAATAATCAACTGTTAATGTGTGCTGTCAGCATCCCCTGTACAGTGTTTTCTGTATGATTGTTTGACGTATAACAAGAGTGCCAAACCAAGACATGCAAACCAATGGAAGTTTGTTATTTTTTATGTCAAGAAATTTAGACATACATGTATGCTATTGCTGCAGGTATTAGATGCTTCTTCAGTATGTCTTAAATTTAGACTCCCTGGCCATGTCCAGACTATAGTAAATACATCTTTTCACACATTGGTTCTATTAAGGTAGTAACCCTTCTCACCCCAGTTAATGAGGCACTACATAGTAACACATTTTGTTTTCTGCTCTGTTTGCTGGGAACAAAGCAAATAGTTTCTCAAATTAACATTTCTTGTTGTCCAGAAGGAGACAAGCCAGGATTTTTCTTCTCTGCATCACATGAGCCCTCAGCTCAGCCTGGGTGGCTAGGTGGGGAAGAACATGGTTCCAGTAAATAACACTTCTTCTGGGAAGGAAACCCAGCACTCTTGAAGCTTAAACTCCTTAAGGGACTTCACAATGTTTTACTGATTGCTCTTTAAAAAAATCTACCATGTTATATCTGCTAGATAGGTGCCAAAACACTGAAAATTAAGTAAATTTTAACTTGAGAGCCAAGGAATGCCTAACTGCTCCAAATCCTTTGTACATACAGTTTCTTCATATGAAGATGAGTGAAGAGAAGTAAGTTAAATTTTCCAGTATGCAATCTGAATACCATTGTTTGCCTCTTATGAATCCAACTGGCCACCCAGAGTGAACATACTCTTTTTTGCCTAAAAGTTGTAAAAGAGAGAGACCTAAACCATTCCAAAAAGCAGAGAAATTATATGATAGATATGGCTCTTCAGAAGCCAATTAAATTTTGAGTCCTATTGTCTTTAAAAAGCCCATCTGTTTCATAATAAAACTAATAAACACCTAGAAGTTCTGAGCTGTTCTCATTAAAAATCTTTCTTGATTCTACCAACATCTTTATTTAAAAAATAAAAAAGCTTATCAGTTGCCTAATAGTATTCAGTATATACTTTGGAAAATATAAAATTATTTTAAATATTTTCTTTAAGGCATGACTGTTATGAAAAATTTGATATATATCCTTCCAAACTTTACTCTTGTTTCCCAATGAATTTATAGATAAATAGACAGATAGAGATGTACATACACTTTATTTTTAAATTTCATTTTATTAGTACATGTTTGCAGTATGTGAAATTTATATTCATCTTTAAAAAGTAGATACATGTACATAACATAACTTAATTATTTTTATACATCTTTCACTTCTCATTCACCACCCTTCCTCTGTCTCTAGATCCCCTTACCCTATGTTTGTTGTTGTTGTTATTACTGTTATTTTTACTTCATGGTTCAGACATACAATGTTTACATTTATTGTGGGTATTTGGCACATGTACATGACATATTTTAAAACTTTTTGTGTTTTCTTCAGCCTATTAATCTCTTGGACTCCTTATTTACAAAATATCTGTTTCCCTGTTTCCTTTTATCAGTCTTTGCTTTCTGTTTGCACTTTGTATTACTCAAATGAGAGTAACCATATGGTATTTGGGTTTGTGTATGTGATCTATTTATATTTAAGTATTTTAAAATGAAGTTGGATTATATTATAGATATAAAGTTTTGTGTTCTTTTCAATCATATAAACATTTTAGTACATGAATTCCCTTGTCATAAAATAATATTTAAAAATGATTTATAATGATTTCATAATAGTCCATCACATAAAAGAACTATGGTTTAGCTGCACCTTAAAGATTCTTCCTTTTAAGTAACGATTTTATGAACATCATACTAAAATCATCATACTAAAACCTACAACGAGTCCCTGGGATGTGTCTGAAGCAGTAGGATGATTAGGTCAAAAGTACTTATGTCAAACCAGTCTCAAAAATGGATTTTCTAATACATATGTTACAGTTTTTGTCTGGGTGTCACGCCACAAAGCCTCATGCAGTCTTGGGGGCAGGCTTCTAGCGTTTTTGACTGATTCGTGGTCCAGTGCTTGGATTATGAATGAGTGCTACACCCATGTGATGTGATCTACATAGATATAAGGGACAGAAGTAGTCTTCTCTATGTACTCCTCCCTTTTTGTGTTTATTGCTTTTGCTGTCTTCTGCCACCACGAGTGGTTGCCCCTGTGCCATGCCACCCTGTCTTGGAGTCAGCTGATTCTGAGCCTAAGCTTTCACAAACTGTGAGCTAAATAAACCTTTCCTTCTGATGGATTCCGCTCATATGGGACTCTGCCAGGCTTAACACCTTTCCTGCTTAACAAAATCCTAACCCCCAAAACAACAGTATAGCTCTCCTACACTGACTTCTGTGTTCTTCTTTTAGTTCTAAAATAAACCTCCCTCCTTCCCTGTGCATGCATGCCAGAGGTCTTCCAATCCTCTCCTGACACAGTCCACTCATGCAGTCTCCACCCCCTGCACCTAAGGTCCTCCAGTCCTCTTTCTATGCAATGACCTGTCCACTCACAGTTTTCTCCCTTCTTCCAATCCCATAAGGCAGCCTCTTCCCAGCTTTTTCTCCTGTAAGAGTCCCCATAGTCTCCTGCAGCACTTCTATATAAGCATTAAAGGCTTGTTTCTTATCTCTGTTTGTGTCTGTCAACTGCGCCAAAATAAAACCTCAACACCTTCCTTCATTTAGGGTGTTGGTTATTTTGTATCAGTAGTAAGAGAAAAGTAATCAAGACAAAATTTGGTACCAGAAAAAGAAAAAAAAAAAAAAAAAGAATTTGGCACCAAAGAAGTGGGGTTGTTGCCAAAACTACAGCTGCCATGTGGTTCAAAGCCTTCAGAAATGGCTTGTGGAAAGTTTGGAAAAGTTTGAAGATCTCTCCTGAAGGAGTAGAGATGGAATGACTTAGGCCGTTATATATGGGAAGTTCTGGTCAGAGCTCAAAAAACTGGAAGGCTGATAGAAATCCTTCCAGTAAAGACCTGGCTCAGGTTTCTACTGGGAAGAACTGCCTTAGTTATTGGACTCCAGATGATAAGTTCTATGGCTTGGCAAAAAGACTATTCATTTTGCTAATGTCCAGAGACTGCCTGAGACTGAGATCAAGAGCAGCAGATTAATTAAACTGGCAGAAAAAATTCAAAAGCAGTTGAATGTTGAGGCAGTGGCATGGTTATTGTTGGAAGCTTTTAGCCAGACTTATGTTGAGAATCAAAGAGCACAAAGCTCAGAAGAATGATTTAAAATATGAATTTATCCAGAAAGGAAGCTTCAGTAAAGCTGTGGACTGCAGGGATAGAAATGAGGAGATCTTGATTGCTGGGAAGGAGTAGGAGGAGAATAGAAAAGATGGCCTGAGGGCATCACCAGAAACAACACGACTCCATCTTTTGCATCCTCAAAACTGTCAAACCTAAAAAAAGTTTGCTTTGAAGAGAAATCCTCAGACACAGCACCATGTTCCTAAATGGTGGCAGCTACACAGTGTCCCATAATGGTGATGGCAGCGCCAGGTTCCAGAATGGCAATGGTATAGAGATTGTTCCTCAGAATCAGGTTCAAAGTGCCCAGAAATCCAAGTACTCAATCCTTACAGCCAAGAGAGGGGAAATTCTGGCTACTGCTTGGCAGCATCCGCATGGTGCTAATTTTATGTGCATGCAGGATACAACTATGCCAATGAGGTTCAAAAGCCTTTCACCTAGATTTTGGAAGAAGATCTGGGAAGCCAGTCAGTGTGTCCCTGAAAGGGCAATGTGTGAAGTGGTGAGAGTGAAGCCAAACGTGGAGAATCCAGAAGTTTGGAAAAGCCAGGGATGTGAGTCATCTAAGGAAAGCTGCAAGAATTGAGCAGAGTGAGCCTAAGAAAGAACCCAGGGAGCTATAACTGGAACTGCTATCGGTGTGGGATCACACAAGTGCCTTGGAGCTCACAAGCTACAACAGATTGCTTTGGATGTTCCACACGGGCCTTCAAGACTTAATGTTTACCCTCCCAGATTTTGGGTTTGCTTTGGTCCCATTCCTTTGTATCCCCTTATTTGTACATTTTGGAATGATAATGTCTATGTTGTGCCACTGAATGTCAAAAGTGTTGTTGGTTCTCCATAGTGTTGGTTCTCCTGTTGCTGTGGGTTCTCCTGGAGGAGCTTGTTGAACTTCTTTCCTGATATGAATCTGGCTGTTCTCATTAGAGGAGCTTGGGATCTTTTTGTCACTGAGAAGGATTGTGGTTTACTTTGGGAGAGCTCTGGTCCTTTGAGCATTGCTTCCTAGCTCTGGAGGGGAAGATGTGTGCTGTTCAATCTCCTGGAGAAGCTAATTATGTTGGCTTCCTGATATGAACTCAGCTGTTCTCATCACTGGAGTATTTTTTTGGGGAGCCCTAGTCCTTAATTTGAGTATTGCTTCTTAGCTCTAGTGCAGACCCATCAGCCTCCTGGCACAAATCCTTTATCCCACTGGCACAAACTTTCTAGTTTTCACTGATGATCTTTGGCCCTTCCCAGTGCAGATTCGTGAAACAGACTTGTATGAGATATTATTGTGGGCCCTAGGCCTCCAGCTGGACTCACAGGAGGTATCATATCGGCTCTAGGTTTTCAGCTGGACTCCTGCAGGACACTGCTGTGAAACCAGACCCTCAGCTGGATGCTGGTCTTAGTGTATGGACAGATTTCTTACACTCTTTCTTTGACTCTGGGTGACTATTAGAAAATAATTCTGTAAAGTATGTGTTCTGTATATAATTGTTTTCCTTGCAATCCCTGACTACAACAATATCTTCATTAGTATGTGTTTTGATAGGAAAAGAGAAAAATGATGTATTATACATTTCTTAACTATTAGAAAAGTACTAGATTTTTCACATAACCTTACTATTTTTACTTCTTCATAGTTTTCATGTTTTTGGCCAGATTTCTTGTAGAAATTTAGAAAGTTTTTTTCCCCTATTTTAAATGATATTTATATATTAAAGGTATTAGCCATTGTCTGGAATATGTATTTGAAATATTTATTCCTTGCTTATGTTTGCCATCTAACTTTCTTACAGGCATTTGGAAATTTTAATATATATTTCCTTTTTTTATTTTATGAAAAAGATTTTTTCACATTCAAATAAGAGAAAAAAGTAATTGTTATTACACTGTGTAACATTATCTTCAAAGTAGTACTCAGTTGCAAGATATAAACCAAAGAGATTCTAATTGAAAAACAGATAACAAATTTTGTCTTCAATTAATTAAGACAAACTATTACTCTAAGTGAAGAAATTATTATATATATGTCAAAATATTTTTAAAGCATCAAATCATGGTGCTGTATGCATGCCCATTGTAGTAGCACAATTTAATATACTTTAAAATTCAAATTTTTGAGAAACTTTTCTTTACAATGAGTTTTTGTTTAGAGTCTAGGTGTCTAGCTCTAAATAATGCCTATCGCCCCTTGTAGATTCACAAATTTTAAAATTATATTTTATTGCAATTTTTTATGTAACAGTATTTTTAGTTTATTATGTGAAATAAGGAATTATCTTTATTTTCTCTGTGTAATGGCTAATTTTGTCCTACAACCTTTGTGGAAAATAATCTTTTCTAGTTATCTAAAATATCTATATTGTATATGGCACTTTTTAGTGATACAGACGATTGCATTTTAGGCCTTTACACTGACTGCATTTCCAACCCTTTCAATTAATTAATTTAGTTAGTTAACTAAATTAACTAATTTAGTTAGTTAATTAATTAATTTTTGGAGGCAGGGTCACATTAAGTTATCCAGGCTGGACTCAAACACATTGTCCTCCTGCCACAGGCCCTTCCACCACTGAGGTTATAGGTGTGCATCACAGCACCCAGCTAGACGCCTCATACGTCGTCTTCTAGTCTTCTACTTTTTCTTCAACTTTGAATGGAAACTACAGTAGATTCCATTTCATGCAGCTCAGAATGTGTTTCTAGATATTCTCTTTGTAATTATGCCTTCCAAATATTTATTGAAGATCACACACAATAGAATTTAGTCAGTGTGTTCTCTAGTCTGAATGATCTTGTGAAAGATATGTGTCTTAACTGTCCAAATATGAAGAAACCCAAAGCAGAATTCGTAAGATAAGATGATAAATGACAGTTGTTAGTTTTCATTTAGTACATATAAAATGTCTTATAAAATTATGAAGCTGTAATAATGAACATCTCATATAAAAAAGTATGCTATTATGAATTTATGTTCATTTATTCATTAAGTACTTTGTAATTTAACATGTCTGTCTGGTTTTTGTTTAGTAATGATAATTTTTGTTACTTGATAATGTACCATTAATATGTTAAAAAAATCTATGTTCAATAATAGCCAATTCAAATTTATCAGACTAAAAATAATTATTGATACTTTTCAATTGCAATTTTGTACTTGTAGTGGAGCTTGATATTTAGATACAAAAAGCCAATGCTACAATTTGCAGAGAAAACAAAAATTTCATTTTTATAGCCTGAATCATATTCTTTACCACCACTAGATGGCAGCAAAGTAATAAATTTGTTTTCCAATTTCACAGTTTCACTTTATTATATATAAGGTATTATTTTAAGGTATCTACAATTATACTTAAAGTTTCATCCACATATGGTAAATGTGAAAACAAAGTATTATGGACATACATTTCAGCATAAGACAAAATGTAAATTAAAAGGAACATAATATTTAGTGAAGTCTATATTCATAAACTTGTGATTCATTGTTACAACATATAAGAAATTAATCATTCCAGCAAATAAATTGTAAAATTGGTAATTCTATTACATAAACTAGTATTCCTCTGAGTTTCTTCAGAAATAATTATACTTTTTCAGGAGAAAATGATATTTTGACTTTAAAGGCTACTTTAATGTGTTAAATACTGAAAATATAGTTAGCATAAATGAATAAAATTTAGAAAAAGCATAAGCCTTAGGTGGAATTATTTTAAACCACAGCATTTCTCAAATTCAAAGACTTTGTTATTTTAAAAATTATGTTAGAATTTTAATCTCATTTTAAGCTTGGTGAACTGCTTTTATTCTCCAAAGCTTTGTATGTTATGCACATGGAAATAAAGAAGGAAGCATAGAAATTGCAATATATATGATTTTCTCATAATTAAATCAACTAGTAAAACTATTTCTTTTTAAGGCTGGGATGGAAAACATAAAATAAATTACGATCCCAATTACCCTTGCAGTCCTAGTTCAGATCAGGGCCTAGATGACTGTTAAAATTTCTGGGTTTTGAAGTAAGACCTCTTCATGTCATGGGGATGTCATGAGGATGGATGTATGTTATGTGCAGAACATCAGCTTTGCAAGGTATTTGAGTTGTACATGCCATAGGGGAAAAAAGTCAAGAGCTAAGAGTATAGCTTAGTGAGATGTAGATGTATTGGGCTCTAGGTTCATTCCCTAGCCCCAAATCAAACAAATAAATAAACAAAAAATAAAACATTAAAATAGCTGAGTTATACCCGGTTGTATCCAAATCCTGCAAAAACTGAATGCTACACACAAAGGAGTTTGGGAAGGATAGCACTTCACATGGGAGTATTGGGTTCAGCTGAAAAATAGCTCCTGTGAGATTAGATATACATTAATCTAACTGCAACTCAGTGGTTAAGGAACATACTTTGGAATCAGGCTGCTCCATGTGGAAAGCTATATTTTCTATTATTAATTCTGTGACTTTGGATAAATTATTTAATCTCTGAAAACCTCAACCACTTGATGCCTAAAATGAGAATAAAAAAAGTTGGGGATTTAGCTCAGCAGCATAAGTGCCTGCCTTGCAAGCGCACAGTTGTGGGTTCAATCCCTGGTACCGATTAAAAAAAAAAAAAAAAAGAATAACGAAAACAGAACTAGTTTCATTAGACTATTAGACTGATGCGTCTAAATCTTGTGAGGCCCATATCAAACATTCAGGAAATGAAAACTTGTTTTTGCTAAAATTCAGTATTTTTGTAGCTTAGCTTCAGTTCTTCTTAGATGTCACTTTATTGAAATTTAAAATGATGGAAATAAGGGAACGTTTGATCACAGTTCCCAGTTAAGTCATATACTTTTTAATTGAATGATTTTTCTTCTTCCAAGACACATCTTAGTTTATCTTTATAGGAATAATGAGAAAATAAACTGAAGTGAACCAGATGTGCACCTATGTTAGGTGGATGTCAAATGGGTAGGTGCATTAGAATAAAAATAATAGAGAAGAAGAGAATCTAGCCATGGAGTCTCTGAAGGGGTTTCAGGGTTCCTTGGAAAGCAGGCATCAGAGGAAAAAATCTTACATCAAAGTGAGTCTGAGCTCATCCATTCTATTACCACTACTCAGGCGAGTGGGAAAGATTAATTTGCTTCTGGAATTTAATCTTGGAGTACTTTGGCCCGACCTCAGAGTACAGTGACTATAAAAATATCTATGACGTCATAGTTGTCCAGGCAGAAAGAGCCTTCTGTTCCTTGCTGAAGCTTATACATTCAGCATAAAATCAAATGCCTCTTTAGGTGGCGTGCAATAAAAATCCCAGACTGAGACTGAAGAGTACATAGTACGGCTGAATATTTGAAGTTAAGATTTCTCTGTCTGTCTGTCTGTCTGTCTGTCTCTCTTTTCTTTTGTGGGTACTAGGAATCAAACTGAGGGCCTTGCGCTTGCCAGGCAGGCACTGTGCTGCTAAGCTATATTGTTGGTCTATTTCCCCCAATTTTTAATTAGATTTTAAGCTTATATGTTCTGCATAAATTAGGGGAAATTTTCCTTGATGGAATTCTTTCTCTAAAATTTTTCTTTTAACTCATTGATTGGTATCAAAAACTTCTTCAAGTTTGTTTTTTTAAAGAAATACTTAGTCTTTTTGTGACAAACTCTTACTATGTAGTTCAAGATGACCTAGAAGTCAGTTTGTGGCCCAGGATGATCTTGAATTTGTAACAATCCTGCCTCAGCCTCCCAAGTACTGGGATTTACAGATGTGTGCCACTGTGCCCGACCTTTGCAGGATTTTTTATACTGAAAAATTTTTTCTTTTTAGTTTTATGAAAAAATACGACCAAATTTTCTGACAAAATAATAGAAATAAAAAGTTAATTAACTATTGTTAATACACTATCATTTAAAGGTTTTTTATATAGAAAAATGTTAGATTTTGAAGTTATAAAACCATCAGTTTGAAATGCTAAATAATTAGGCGTTCTGATCGCTAAAGAATATAATTTAGTTTTTATTTTTCTTATATTTATATTCTTTGCGTGTGTGTTTGTTTTCATTTTTCAGAACTTGGAATCAATTTTGATCACATATGGCAAAAAACATTGACAGTGTTAAACCCAATGAAGCCAGCAGATGGCAGCATAATGAACGAAACGGACCTCACCGGGCCCATCCTTTTCTGTGTAGCCCTGGGCTCTACCCTGCTTCTGGTAATGTGCAGAGACAAACAGCAGATTTTAAGCTCTTCCCTGCAAGAATCAGCTCCGAAGAGAGTTTTAAAATAAAGAAAAAATAGATAACGAAGAAAATGTTTTGCTTTGTTAGTGAAAACTGTTTAATTCACAACGCTGTTGTCTTTTTTATTAGCAAGGCGTACTAACAAACAGTAGTGGAAAAAAAGAAACTACAGTTGATAAATGGTATAAATTCAAATGTAAAACCACAACTCAAACCACCAAGTCATAAATTTTCATTCAATAATATTATTTATTTCTTTTCTAGTTCTAAGATATAACTGTCTTTCTGGAACAGTTGCAAGAAAACATGAATTTAAGAAATATCAAGCATGAAGTTTAATTCTTGTGTTCTGTGAGATTCCAATTTGACACTGGCCTAATTGTTTTGCTGTCATCATTTATTTTCTTTACTGTAATATATCTCGAGAGCACTTTTGACATTGTCTGAGATGTAAGATGGGTTGTCTTGTTTTTTATGAAACTGTTATGAGCAAATAAGATGTAATAACCACTTATGATTTGTTTAATCAACCTGTATATTTTTCCTATAATTTTAGTTTTCTGATCCTAAGAAGACATTTGGCTCTTAGTTTGTCTTATACCCTCATGGATTTTGTGTATGAGCTTTTTCATTCTTTCTATTTGCAAGTAATATTAACAGTCTTCAAAATGCTAAAGAGAAACATATTTCTACATGTTTAGAAGGCATTCTACTTCCTAGGCTAGAAATATGCTTTATTAGTAAAGACCACAAAAATGATAAAAAGGCTACAATTTTATAACAAGAAGAGAATCATAGTGATAATTTTAAAATGGCAGATGTAATCAAGTTATGTCTAAAAACTATAGTTTTATTAAGGCACAAAAAGATAAACTTGGCAAGGGAAATAAACTAAGAAATTAGAGATTCCATGAGAGGCCCTCAAAATAATGATTCACTTCTCTTGTTCCTCTTCCTTCTATCTCCTTTCCAAATAATTCTTGCTAAGATAGCTACATTTCCCAAAGGTGGTCTAAAGTATATTTGCAACTAAGTAAACTTTCAATTTCTATTTGTTAATTTTTAATACCAATCAAAATTTTGCCAGTCCTGTAGTTTCTGTGCGGTACTGTGGCAAGCAAACACATCGTGTTTGTCCTGTTCAGCGTACGGTAGTGACAGTATAATGGTAGCACCTCACTTCCTTTATTGTACTACAGTAAATGAAAAGAGTCTGTAACTCAAACACTATCAGCTAGAGTTTTCCTTTAGTCTCTAACTTCCTCTCCTCTGTCTTTGTCATAGTAATTTGATAATCCTGGATTAGGCTGGTAGGCTAATTAATCAAATAGTCAGCAACAATCAATTTAATATATTAACTCTTCTTTCTTTTTTCAAGTCACTTGTGATATAACAGCTGTTTGGTTTTGCCTTTTGTTTTAGAAAATATCACTGTTGGGGGCTGGGGATTTAGCTCAGCAGCATAAGCACCTGCCTTGCAAGCAGGCAGTTGTGAGTTCGATCCCCGGTACCGATAAAAAGGAAAAAGACAAAAAATAAAAAATAAAAGAAAATATCACTGTTACCATTCCTTAATTGGTATAATTAATCTCATTAGGATTTCTCTTGAGAGTGTTAAATTAGTTGGAGTTGCTTAAATATTCTCATGTTTTAAATATAAAAAATATAGACAAAAAATCTTAACTACCACTAGCTGTTATGTTGAACTTTTCTTCCTATGCCTTCAATTTCTTTGTTTTCTTCAAGACCAGAAGTTTATTTGAGTGACTTAAGTTGCTATTAGTTGTTAAATTATATCAATAAAACTTCTATGAGATATTAACTGAAATACAACTTAATTCAGAATCCATTAGACACTAGGTTAACTTTGCTTTGGAATCTATAATTTTGTTGGCTGGAACTGGCATCATATTAGTGAAACCAAAACTAAATCCAGAACTAATACCTGAATGTGTTCATTTGTCTGCAAATACAAGATTCATAATCACATACTCGTTATTTTTATGACTTACGTTGACATAGGCACAATTTTGGGGAAACTTTAGGTAGCGGGAAGCAAATCAAATAAAACAACTAGAATCAGTTAATATAAATTTAGTTTTATTTCTTCTTTCCTTCCTGTTTTAGAGTTTTATGACTTTAACAAAATTTCTTAGAAGGAGGTAAGGTTTATTTTGGCTCACAGTTCCAGGGGTTTTAGTCCGTTGCCTTTGAGCTGGTAGGGAGACAGTATATGATGGAGGGATTGTGTGACTGGAAAAGCTGACTGCCTTGATGGCTGTCAGGAAGCAGGAGAGAGAGAGAGGAAGAAGCCAGCTTCCCGTTTCTCCTTTTGGGGTGACTCTCATGTCTTAATTCCCTCTTCCTGGGCCCCACTTATTGAAACTTCTTGAGCCACAGTCTAGGGACCAAATCGTTAGCACACAGGTCTTTAGGGTACACTTATCCAAATGACAGCAGCCCCCAAATGATTTTTATTTTCACATCCAAATAGCAAGTTGTTTTAAGGCTACTGTTTAACTTAAATGTTCTGGTAGTGTTATGGGTGTTTTCTGGAAAAATAACATGCATAGGCCACATCCTGAAAAATTTTGAGCTTAATAAAATAGAACACTTACTTTTTAGTTCAATTATAAAATTTTGCCAGAATTTGAAGAATTTTTTTAAATGGTGATACTACTAATATGCCTTGTAAATCTGAAGGACTAACTTGAACTTTTACTCCTATAATAAATCATTTAGTTATTCAACAAACATGAGGAGAAAAATATACTTGTAATAAAAGACATATCCAAGGCATTATTTCATCTTTTCTGTTCCCGTCCTATGTATAGTCAGAATGTTTGTTTTGGAAGTTGGAGTTCATATCTCAGACAGTGTTTTTGACAAAATCCCATCTCCTAATGATGGTGCTGCAAACACATCAAATAGTGTTGCACTGATTCGGAAATGATCTCTAGTTTGTTGTTATTCTGATTTCCTCTCCATGTCTTTTGAGCTTCCAAACAATTTTCTTTGCCTTTTTGCAGGCAGGAAAAGTTCAGTTTGGGTACGTGTATGGTATGAGTGCCCTTGGCTGCCTGGGGATTCATGCCTTACTGAACTTGATGAGTTCCTCGGGAGTATCGTACGGCTGTGTGGCCAGCGTGCTGGGTTACTGCCTGCTCCCCATGGTCATCCTGTCCAGCTGTGCCATCTTCTGCTCATTGCAGTAAGTGTCTGTGTGCGCTGTGACCTCACATGCACGGGCATCACTACAGTTTTCCAGATCAGTGCAAAAGTTAAGCTCTTTGTCATTATTTTAGCAAAAAAATAAAAAAGAGGAGCCGTATCTATATTAAAAGCTACACATGAATTCAGAAAGGTAGGCTGGTTTTGGCTCAGATGCTATTCCTATTTCCATGATTTAAAAAATGAAAGGAGCCAAGTGATGTTTAAAACTGGCACTTTTATAGTGTCACATTCTTCAGTGTGAGCTATTAACATGAGTAATGTAACAACTACAGGAAATGCACTGATTTGATTTTGGAAGAGTAAATCCTGTGAGAGGCTGACAAATTGCTTTGGCTTCAGGCGCTGTGCCTTCCAGGCTGGAAACAACTGTCTTTGCTGGGCTTCTTGCACTGTATGATTCCCAGGAAGCCTGATGAGTAGATTAATTTTGGAAAGCTTTATAATACATATGTTCATTCAGTACATTTAAAAAGTTTTTTTTTCTTGTTTCACTTAGGCTATTGATATTTACAATTCAAAATTTAATAAGGATACTGCAGATAAAAGCTCCTGCAGGGCACTTTCCCAGGGTATATGCATATCACTACCAGGTAGATAGAAAGAGAGGTTACACAGTTCATTGTCACCTGCCATGTTCTCAGCCCACTTGGAAATAAATAGTTACTCTTGGTGCTCATTCTTCCACACCCAAAAGAAAACGTGATTTGCATTTTTTCTTAGATGATATATCTCTTAGGTTATTAGTGCTATAGTGCATAGAATGGTATACAAAGAATTTATCAATACAAAGATAAAGAGCTTAAAACTTTTAGAAATATACTTATTATGATCACAATAATTGTTTTCATAACATTATTGCAAATGACTCAGCAGTGCTGTTGATTTTGGCACTGTCTCATTTTTAAATAATACTTTTGTGAATAACTTACAAATAACCCTTAATTTAATGCAAAGCTCACAACATTTAATAAAAATGACTGTGTGTTGAACAACGTAAGCCCAGGATCAGAAATACAAATATCGCATATTGTCCCTAATAGGAGGAATCTTGAAAAAGATGACAAGAAAGCAGAAGATGACAAGAGGAAGTATATAAGGTCTCAAGGGAGGCAGTGTATAAGGTCTTACGCATGGAAAATAGAAAAATAAATATTATCAAAATATACACAATAAACCTGCGAATGTTGAAACTGGGGATTGGAGCAAATGGGATAATAGGGGAAATGATTAGAATCTGCTATATGTAACACAGTTCTGCAAAAATGACATCCATTAATGTACGTAACCAATATGAATCAGTAAAACATGAAAAGAATTTTGCAGGAAATGGAAATCCTGAATCTGTAACTATAACATGAGTTTCATTTGTTGAGACTTAGCAGTGGAATGCTATCACATGTCATTTATTATATTCTTTGATAATCAATTTGATTCACCAGATTGTTCAGCATGAAAGTTTAATATGCTAGCACACAGTTTGATTCCATAATTTCTATTTTGTTGGGTGTTTTTACAAATGATTAATACTATGATCTATTACTTAAAAATTCTAAATGTAAGCATTTTCGGTAAATTTGAGACTTAGGACATCATAAATGATTTCAGAACACTAGGGGAACATGAAAAGTAAAACTCTTGAGTTTGGTAAATCATCAGAAGTTTGGGCTTTTCCTTAGATTTTCATTCTGAAATTACAAAAGAGTATGTGTCTCATCACTGTGACAAAATGTCAGAGAAAATCAACTTATAGGGCAAAAAATACAGTGAATGATGCTGCCAGTTGCCATCCAATGGAAAGGCAGGCATCTTTAATACCAGGAGTGGTGCACTGGACTGGTAGTGCCTAGTCTCTACTTGTTTGGTGAGTCAGTCAGTTATTAGCCTCAGCTGAGAGAACATATGCTTTAAGATGTGCCATAAATCATCAATCAGGGTCAATACATTTGACTGAAGTTGTGCAAACATGCCATTTCACATTCCAGCTTAAAAAGTGTCATTGCAGGAAATGAAGCCTAGTTTTATGCTTGTGATCTTGAGACCAAGGTGTAGAGGTTTCAATGGAAATTACCCAGTTCTCCTCATGAAAAAAAGCATGTCTTTCCAGATTCAACACTGAGGTGATGCTGTTTTTTTGACCTTGAGATTTTTGTCAGTAAAACTCAACTGACCAAGGAAGTGCCAAGGAATACTATATTCAGCTCTGAGAATTATAAAAGCTTATTATAGTATTTAAAAATGATGTACAAAGAAAATGGCCTGACAAATGGCATCTCCATCATGACAGTGCCCCATGTCACAGCTCACTTCTGGTTCAGCAACTTCTGTCAAATGAAAATGATACAATATGTCCTCACTCAGTTTATTCAGCAGGTAGAACACTGTGCAAGTTCTGGCCTTTCCCAAAGTTAAAGTGACAATGAAAGGCAAGCATTTGCAATCAATTCAGGACATTGAGGCGGCCACAACAGTGCATCTAAAAACACTCATGAAAAACAACATTTACAACTGCGTCAAATGGTGTCATGAATGATAGGATAAGTGTGTTTGATGTGAGGAGGACATTCTGAGGGGTATTTATTTTTACATTTTTATTTTAAAGGGAAAAACAACAAAATTTCTAAATATGATAATTGGGAGTAACAATGGTATATACATGGCATATTGTTATCTCCAAAGAAATTACTCAAAGGACAAGACATCTGCATTTAATCATCTGAACATTAGCACAAAATTTTCTCTTCAATGATTTCAGAGACATCAGTAGTATAACTATCTTAACTGTTATGTATATATATATATATATATATATACACATACACTTTCAGCTTCTCACACTAATTAGACAATACAATGTTTACACATGCATGTCTGATTTATTTCATTTTTGAGTATAGTCTCAAGTTGAATCCTTTTACCTATATAAGTGTCAAATTTATCCTTCTTTATGGTTGAGTAGTAACCCATTGTTTAAAAATACCATATATTTTTTATCCATTTCTCAGTTGATGGGCATTTAGGTTGTTTCCAAGAGCCAGCTATTACCAATTGTGCTGCTGTAAACATAGGCATAAATATATTGATGTGGTATGATGTTTTTGATTCTTCTCAAAAGATATCCAGAAGGAGAATAGTTGGGTCAAATGCAACCTCCAATCCCAGTTTTTTGAGGAATCTCCACACTGATTTCTGCAGTGGCTGTACAAATCTACACTCCCATCAATAGTGGAGAAGGGTTCCTTTTTCTCTATAGTCCCTTCAGCATTTGTTATTGTCGATTTCTTAATAATAGCCGGTCTTTCCAGGATGAGGTGCAAACTCAGCATTGTTTCAATTTTCATCTCTTGAATGACCAGTGATGTTGAGTAATTTTTCATACATTTATTTTGTTTGTATTTCTTATCTGGGAAATGTGTATTCATCTCAACTGCCCACTTTTGGATTGGGTCTTTAAATTTGGGAGGGCTGATTTTTTTGAGTTCTTTATATGTTCTTGATAGTAATCCTTTGTCTGAGGAACAGCTGGCAAACACTTTCTCCCACATTATGGGCAATCTCTTCACTCTGCTGGTGGTTCCTGTTGTAGTGAAAAAGCTTTTTAATAAGATGAAGTCCCAGTTGATCTTTGTGATAGTTCTTGTGCAATTGATGTTTTGTTCATGACGCCTTTTCTACATTAGTGTCTTCAAGAGTTTTTAGTCTATCTTCCAGAAGATTTATTGTCTCTGTTTTAATATTTAAATCTTTGCTCCATTCGGAATTTAGTTAAGTGCATGGTGAAAAGGATGGGTCCAGCTGGAATCTTCAGCATGTGTACAGCCAGTTTTTTCTAGCGCCATTTATTAAAAAGTCTTTGCTTTCTTCCAGTGAATGTGTTTGGCACCTTTGTCAAAAATAAGGTGGTTGATTGTGTTTGAAGTTGTTTATGCATCTTCTAATCTGTTCCACTGATCTTCAGGTTTTTTTTTTTTTAGTACTTTGCTGTTTTTAATCATAGTAGCTTTATATATAATTTAAGTCAGGGATTATGATACCCACTGCCTTGACTTTGTTGCCCAGGCTTGCATTTGGCATTCTAGGTCTTGACTGTTGCCCAGGCTTGCCTTTGGTTCTCTTCTGGTTCCAGCTGAAATTTAGGGTTTTCTCTAATTTTGTTTGACTAGTTATTGAAATTTTGATTGGGATTGCATTGAATTTGTATCATAGTTTTGGAAGTATGGCCATTTTCATTATATTGGTTCAACTTACCCAAGTGCAAGGATTATCTCTCCATTTTCAAATATCTTCCTCAATTTATCTTTTTCTGAGGGAGATTTAAAGGAAGTATGTCTTTTACTGTAAATTTTTAAAAATTTAAAAGTTCATCATGGTTGTCAATCTTATATAAGGAGAAATTATTTATTTTGACTCATGGTTTTAGCCTGGGTTCATGCCACCTGTGGGAAAGCAGAACATCGTGACAGGGAGGATAAGGTAAAGCAAAAGCACTCACCTCAGGGTGTCCAGGAAACAAAAAACAAGAAAAGTAGGACCTGGGTTCCCAGTATTCCCTTTGAGGCCCCCCATCCCTAGTGACCTATGTCCCAGTAAGCCCTGCTTCTTAAAGATTCCACCACCTCCCTACAGTTCCAGTCTGATGTCCCACTTTTAGCATATGCACCTTGGGTGATGTTTACTATCCAAACATTTACACAGGATTTAGAAATATTCCATCAAATAGGAATAAATTATGGAAACTCTATGGCTATTACATTTAAACCGTCATTTTAAGTATATTATTATATCATTAAGATAAATAATATATAATTTTATAGTTTATTTATATAAACATACATTAAGTCCATATATACATTATCCCTAATAGCTATTAAGCCTATTAATATAATAGTTATTAGATGCTTTAAAATATTTTTGTTTTATTAATAATCCAAAGCATTATATGCTATGTGGTACAATTTTACAACAGTTTTGAGTTCAATAATTAGAAGTATTTCTGTACTTCTTATAAATAGTAAATGTAATCCTCAACTGTAGAGTCAAGTTAGGATTAAGTGAGTCTGTGTAGTTTGATGGTAGAAAGAACACTATGCTGGGTAGGAGATCTTTAATTTTATCAAATCATTTCCTTGTTTTAGAGCTGGATAGAATATAACTCCCGAGGTCTCCAATTTCAAAGTCTTATATTTGTGAATAATGAATTCTATTTTACACATAGGGAAATTTTTATTTTTTTTACCATCTATGTCTCTCTTTTTACCCTCCAAGTTGCTAGACTTAACTGCTTTGTCTATTTGTTCTTAAAGAAGAGATTGTTTCCATATTTAATTTTTGATGATACCCATTTGAACAAACCCATTCCAGCATGGATGGATTAAAAAGTCCTAAACTCACATACACTGGCATATAAAGTGGTCATTATGGGATACACTGGAAGGCCATTCAGATGATCTGTACTTTACTGTTTCATGTATTTGCTACCTAAGTTTCCTCTCTCAAATAAAAAAAAAAATTGTGGTGTAAATGGGAGGCCGGGGGAACTAGTCATTCTGCTAGAACATAACCTTGTTTACTTCTGTTCTCCTGCTATGTGTAATTTATGAAGACAATAGGAGAAAGGAAATTTGTGGCTAAAAGACACACATTCTCTTGTGTAATACACAGAGAATTTCAGGATTGAGCTTTGAATATTGTATATAGGACTGCCTGTGGGTAATGTCACATTCTTACCAATTCTAATTGTACTGAAATATCAAATACTTGCTTTTCTGTTGAAAATGACTAAAACTTTTCTAAGGCTGAGTCCTTTTTGTGTCAGTGGCCTCATGTTACAAGTAGAGAAAGTAGTGATAGATATTATACCAAGGACATTTCAAAGGCTGTGCTGACGCAGGCATCTGTTTTCTCCTAATGTAAGGGAATCACCTCTTTTGTGTTTGCCACAGGGGCATCCTGGGGACACTGACAGCCCTGCTTGTGGTCAGCTGGTGCAGTCTCTCGGCTTCCAAGATCTTCACTTCGGCCTTGGACATGGAAGGACAGCAGCTTCTCATTGCCTACCCTTGTGCCTTACTTTATGGACTTTTTGCCCTTCTAACAGTTTTCTGAACAGTGTTTGAGATGGTTTGCACGATTCTATTTATTTGCTCTTTGGATTATTCTGAAGTCTATTAGCATTCAAATTTGGTGGTATGATTTCTCTTTTATTACTGTTGTGAGAATAATAAGCAGAGAGACAAAACAGCACTTATGGACGGTGCTGCAATGCTCTGTTTGCTTTGAATCCTATTTCACTTTTCAGTTTGGCACATTACAACATTTTAAAATGATTTCAAATAAAAAGGATGTACTTGCTACACTGATGAACACTGCTTTTGCAATAGATATTAATTCCGGGAAATTAGAAGTAAATGCTCACTGTTTTAAAGAAGACTACGGCAAGTCTTTTGAAAAACTTTACAGAATACTCAGATTGTGAGCATGTGGTTAAAAATTTGCATTTTTAGCTCATTGAGAGATTTTAGGGGTGTGTTATATAGGGTTTTATTTATTCAAAGATTGAAAAATCTCCCTTCTTTCAATTCACATACTTTAACAACTTTTCTTTAGTTCCATTCAGGTAATGTGTTGACCTATCAGTTTGCAAGCCTAGTTTTCCCTTTACTTGGTTCAAGGGCGCTACTACCATCTCTCCCCTCTATCACCCACTGCTTCTGTATCCTCTGTAACTCTGCTATTTTCTTCTAAAAGAAGCATGTTACTAGAAGAAATCCCACTTGTTTCATGTTAATTTTATTGCCATATCTGAAGTGACAGTACTGCCTATGGCATTCTACTGCCTTTTCATACTAAATTCATTTCATACTAAGATGGTACATCACACCAGTTCTTTACTGATCAACTCCATAATAACCATCTTTGGTTTTCACTGTGTGTTTACTCTAAGTTTAAAAATACAGGTATCTAGAAGAAAAGTGTTTCATCTTTCTATCACCATATCAATCTAGCTCATCTTCATCATGATTGTGCTGTGCCTTCCCTCTTTCCGTGGTTTTCTCCTCTTTACAATCAAACCTCACTGGCCTACCCATTATTTGCTCTTGGCCTATCATTTACATCAGCATGTAAATGTGTTTCTGAGTCTCTTAAAATTGAAATCTCCATGTATGGCCCATTTCTCTGTTTCTCTTCATAGCAAAGTCCTTGAAAGAGTTATCTTTCATATCCTCCTCTACTTTATCACCACCTACATACCCCTTCTTACAGTCAGGTCAAGAATTCATCATCTTATTAGCCAAGATAACTTTTGCTAAACCAGCAGTGAGATATTCTGCTAAATCCGATGATCAATTCTCAGCGTCACTCAGTGTAGACTCTTAAAGACACTGATTTAATTCTTCTTCATCAACATCTCACAACTGCTGTGCTAAAGCACTTCACTTGATTTTTGGAGTGTCATGCTTCCTTTCCTATTTCTCTGCCTCACTGGTGTCTGTTGCTCAGTTTCCTGGCTTGACTTTCTTCCCTTTTCAACTTCATATCTTTTCTATATGTTTTGTTAGCTGAGATCATTTAATTGCATAGCTTTAAAATATAACAACTCCAAAATTTCCATGTCTTTCTGAGTACTTGATAAATCTATGAAATTTATATTAAAATTTCCATTTGACTTTTAGTAGGATAAGCTCAAAAATGTCACTTTTGTAACCAAATCTTTGACCTCCACCCTGTCCTGCCTGTTCTTCAAAATTTCCTCATTGTTAGCACAAGCCCAAATCATCTAGTTGCCCTGTATTAAAGTCAGTAGTCTGGCCGCAGTATGCTTATTTTCACATCAACACATAGTCCATCAAGTGTTTTAACCCTGTAATCAAATATTTATCAAACGTGAGTCTGTCTGACTTGCTGCTTCTCAGCTGATATTCCTCTGAGCCACTCTCATCTGCTGCTTAATGAAGCAGCTTCCTAACTGGTCTCCTGCTTCTTTGCTTTCTAACCAGCAAGCTATTTTATATACAAAGATGTGTGATCCTTTGACAATATAAACTAATTATTTCATCTTGAGCTAAGACTCTTTTATGACATCCATTCACATTTACATTAAGACGTAGCCTACTTTTAATAGCTCTGAATCTTTCTAGTTACAGAATGGTCTCAGGAACAGCAGCACTAGTATTCCCTAGAAGCCACTTAGCATTTCAGAATCTCAGGCCCAGCCCCAGACCTCTTAAACTAGCATCTGCATTTTAACAAGATCCCTGATGATCTATATGCACAACAAAGTTTGAAAAATGCTAGCCAAGAATAACTTGCCTATGTGATATGGTCCTGTTTTATCCTTTCAACCACCTCTATTCCATTCTATTTTTCCCCTGTTCTACTGTTAGTTCTTAAATCATAAAGTATATCAATCTCAGAGTCTTTCTATTTAGTCCACCAGCAACATTCTCTCTTCAGATCTTTCATATTATACAAGTTTCTGTTTTGACCTTAGTTCTTCAGAGACGGCTTCATGGATTTTTAAAAAAAATGTTATTGGTACATGTTTGCAGTACATTGTGGGGAACTGGCACATGTACTTAATACTTTCTTTTAAAAGAATTAAAATTAATACTATCTTTTAATTCTTAATACTTTTTAAAAATTCTCTTCCTCTCCATCACCTCCCTCCCTGTTTTCTCTACCTCTTAGTCCCATTCCATTTTGAAAAGTGTTCTTTTTGCCACAGCATAGCCATCTAGCTCTGCTCAGTCCATCTCATCATTACCTTGCACTCTAGGGGAAGTATTTGAAACTTCCTGAAATTACATTATTGGAAATTTATTTATTTATTCTTTTACTTTCTCTCTTACCCTCTACTAGGTAAACACCTTGAGGCCAAATCCAAAGCTTTTATCTATATACTACAATTTCTTGATGAAAAAAGGAGATTAGTATATGTTTATGGTGTGGGAATGGGAAAAAAAGAATCAAGCTATATAATGTACACGTTCTATATAATGAATGTAAACATTAAGTGTACCTAAGATGTACCAATAAACTTAATTTATACATATATATATAAATTATATATATGGGTATATTTGCATACATATACATGTACATATAGACATGTATACAAGGTAAATGAATAAAAATCAATACATGAATGAGATAGTGATAAGATATTGGTCACTGTAATGAACATCACCACTGCAGCTGTGAATCTTTGAGAGTGGGGGAAAATAGGAAACATAGTAAATAAACAGAATAATTACAAAACTATGAAAATACTGAATATATGAAGAAAAGTCAAAATTGCAGTAAATGTTAGATTTTTGTTGTTCAGTAATCTATTAATGGAACTGTTAGTTACATAGGAAATTGATTTTGTTCTTAACTTTTCTATTTGGAATGAGATAATTCTATTGAAATCCTTTATGTAAAGAAGATGAAGTAAGACTGTCATTTATTGTGATGATTTCTCTACAACATTATTTTATTAATTAGAGCTACACTTATACTATGTACCTAAATTTTTACTTTTTTGGAAAGTGATTTTATTTAAAAATTAATAGGTAAAAATTGCTCTGAGTTATGTACAAAAACAATCATACAGGGAAAAGTTTTAGTATATACTATGAAACATTGTAACACCCAAATAAAAGTCATGTAAAGAAACTACAGTGGTACTCAGATCCCAAACTTGATCGATTCCCATGAAGATAGCTGTATTCATGTTCTTCACCCATGTGGGGTTAGCAAATTAAAGTGTTCATGAACCAAGGTATTACTGTACTAAATATTTCCATACTAGCAAAAAATGAATAAATTCTAGAATTCTTAATGACAAAATTATAACGTATCTAAGAATCAGTGTAGAAAAGAAAAGTGAGTGATTTATATGAAAATAAATGTAAAATATTGGAGACATATCTTAAAAAGACTTGGCTATGCAGACAAAAATACTATGTCCTTGGATAACAAGACTGACTTTACAAAGCATCTCTCCTAAGTAAATGTGAGTGTTTAATATGATTCCAAATGAAATCCAACAAATGCTTTTCTTAGAAGCTAATGTGATTCCAAATTCATCTGTAAAAATAAGCAAATACTGAAAACTCTGAAATCATCTAAAATGTATTCTATGTGAAGAGTAAGCTAAATAAATTATTTCCTATCTCTATTATTGAATGATAGCTAACCATAAATATTTTGGAAGAGTCAAGACACGAGGAAATGAATATGCCTTCAGGATTATGATACTTACTGAAGATTTATTCTGGGCTGCCCCAAAGACTTTACCTATATTAACTCACCTAATTCTCAAAATAATTCCATGGAGCATTGATATTATTGCTTCCATTTTATAAATGAGGCTTCTGAGTTCGCTCATTTACTTGGCCAATGACTAGAATCAGGGAAACTCAAATCCAGGGCCCATAGTCACTATGGAACTCTACTTGTTATTAGACAGAAAAATATCATCTGCTTATTGCACTCAGAGTTAGTCTTTCCTTTTGATCTTGTCCAGTAACAGACAATGGCCTTCAGCTGCTGATGAAAATAGCACAATCAGAATGTCTGCCTGGATGAAAATGATACCTGCATGCCTCCCGGACCCAGTGCTAAATTCTGGTGGAAATAAATGATGCAGATTCAAATCTGGTTATCACTTGGATAGAAGAATTTCACAAAATATAGCTCTTTGCCTATTTGAGAGTATACATTATACAGATTTGCATAGAAGTATTTTACACTAATTCTGAAACAAATTCTGAAAATTTTGTAGCCTGTAAAGTTTTTCAGAACAAATGATAAAATGAATAGAAACACATTTGGAAAATACAACCGGAAATCAATCTTTCAGTTTAATAGAATATTGTAGAAATCTATTCTTTTGGCTTAGTAGACTCCAGCAAAGTTTTCCCCATTTTATTTTCCTCAACTGCTTTCAATTTCTTTTATCTGAGAGTGTAACATTTTTTTCACTTTCCTGTTTTCACTTGTTGGATGAAAGTTATACATTATGTGCAGCGGATAAGTGGTACATTTGGAGTCAAGAGATGGCCTTCATTTCGACAGGAATGATTGGGGACATGTGCTGAAAATAAAAAAGTCCTGAATAACTCAGCCTCAGATGCCCCAGTTCACAGCAGTTTAACTGGAGCAGTGGCCTTCGTAACATTTGATGACAGATGCTTTTCCACTCTGCTCTTTCTCCAAGTGAAGAATGCCAACTGTAAAATCACTATGACAATGTTCTGCTCCTCTTTAAACCCTGAAAGTTCTACTGTGTTTCTGTGCTACAGTCACAGGCCTATAGGTTTCTCAATCAGTTTTCGTTTGTAAGCAAGACTCTGTAATGGTATTTTTTAAAGTTTCAG